GTTTGTAAGTGTACTAAAAAATGAACTTGTTTTCAATATCCTACGCCAACACCGCACACACGAAACGCTTACTTGCGTTTTTTAAACAATCAACCCCTAAAATCATTAAACATAATTAAGCAGCGCGCTGCCCTTTGCACCTTTCGGTCAAACCGTGTAATTTAGTCACAATAAATCTTCTCACGGCAACGCAGGCGCCACTGTCTGCGTTTTAAACGCCAAGACAATTAACTACACGTGCCAGCCCTGGGCTCTGATTACGGATTTCACACGACCTTATTCAGTGAATTTACTTACCCTGCATTAAATATATTGCGTGTTTTTATATTATCGTACATATTCAGGGTGACTTTACTGTTGTCAATCTGTGTGGCACGGAACGTAGTGGTAGAAGTTTTGAAGCGGCTACTTGGCTGCTAATTATACACTGAATTCGGCCAGCTAGATATTGTGTCAAATTACGATACTAAGTCCGATTCAAAACCGAGTAAATACAAATACTCCGAGAATTACGTTACATCGACATAATTTTACTCAGACCAACACAGACGAGATGCTTTTAAAAAAATCTTTGTACTCTGGTAAGAACGATCGTCATTACAACCGCATGTAGGAAAAGATTTCTTAGATCGATTAATATAACAAAAAAATATCTTTTAGGTCCATATTTTGGAATTTAAATTGTTTTAAAATGCTAAAAATAACGGCTTATAAGATTACAGTACTTCAAAATGAATATCTTAGAGATTACCCAATATTATCTGACCTTCTATATAATACAATAAAATTTTGCAATATTAACTTACCTTATAGATATATACATGTACCACGATGTCGGACTAATCTAACTCTGCATCCTCTACTTACAACCAAATTAACTTTCGGATAGATAATAGACATTTTTCATTCTTCCCGTAATGTCTTCAAAAATAACATTCTCAAATCGCTTCCCCAGTAATTTCATAAGTTCATTGTGTTGCTTATTATTATTTTATTATATTAAATACTGTGTACGTCATAAATAGATATAAGTACAATACACTGTTCTCTAAGAGTATGTTTACTACAGTTGATGTACCTTATCTGTAAAATAAAAGTACATAAAAAATTACATTGTCTATGGTGCTCGGCTACTGAACTTGAAAATTTCACTGTGCAACGTAAAGTCGTATTTTTGCTAATTAAAATATCAAATATGATGCTACTCAAACTCTACCTGATTGGTTAAATGGACCTAGAAAAACGGAGCATAAGCCTTTATAAAAACAAATGGTTAAAATATAAGCGGTACTTGGCCACTTCTATTTCATCACTCTAGTTTTTTTGTTTTGTAACATTTCTTTGGACTTTCGTTTGAGTTTGGTGTTGTGGATTGATGACAAAATATACATTAAATATTGGTTGTGTTTCGAAACGAAACAAACATTCTCGATTTAAATCCGGAAGAACAGTTTCATTTCCTATGTTTTTCATTATTTTATTTAATCGTAGAAATAATATTATATGCAATCATTACATAATTAGGTCTAACTCGGCAAAGCTTCGTGGCCTAAACACGGTACACGACTGTAAGAACCTCATTATGCAACGGTTACACAAAATACTATTCCTTATTTGAACGTAAGATTGATTCTAAATGCCTAATAAAGAGCCTCATTCTGTTTAAAATGCTCCGTAGTAAATATTACTATTTGGCATTTAGGGTTATTTATCTCTCACCTACAGATATGACCACAGATATAACATCAAAACATTGCTTACAAAGTCATTTGGGTACGGTAAAAGGCACCAAAAAGTTTTTTATAGAATATTATATGCTATGCCAGCCAATGTCATGGGCTGGGTTCTTAAATTATCGGCGGATGGAAACAATTGCCAAGTTGATTGCAGATCGTGTATTTGCGAGATCACCCCCGTAGCATGGCTACAAGTGACGGTCGCGACGCGCTCGATAAAACTGAAATAAGTGCGCCCTATTGGCTATCTAAATTAGATCTGATTGAGATAGCCAATAGCGCGCGCTTATATCAATTTTATCGCGCGCGTCGCGATTGTCACTTGTAGCCATACTACGGGGACTGACTTAGTTAATTACAACACAAAAACTGAGGAACCACTAATTCTATGAAAATATAAAGTACAATAAAGATAGTAAACTAGCATATAGCAACGGAGATTGTTCTATATTTTACTTAAAACTAACATTAATGAAAAAACAATATGCCTTAATAACACATTACAATGCAAGATAATTATATGCGAGATATAAAACAAGAGGAGAATAACAACAATACTAATGGCTTATAAAATACTTAAATAGACAAAGAGAATATTTATCTGTAGGTACATGAATCTGTGCAAAAGCAGGGCCCGAAAACTATCTCCGAAATCCCCTCAACATCCGCCCCGAGGCACAATATTTTGCCGATCAAGGCATTAATTGTGGGCCATAAAACCGATGAGCCGTGATCGCACAATGAATCGAACGAGGCGCGACGTGAACCAACAAACGTCTAAAGATACGCGGATAAATCGCGCGGACCACCCTCGTGTACAACTGCCCTTACAACTATGGATGAGTCATAAATATTACACATCATCATCTACTAAACATAGTCTCCTCCAAAGATTACTACAATTCTCGCAACCTTCACCAGGTCATCATTCCACCTTTTGGGTGGTCTGCCTTCGCTGGGTCTACTAGCAAAGTGCCCTGCCGACTGCCACTTAAGTTTGTAATGTCGGTTACTCTGGTTCATGAACACTAATTAGTTACCAAACAAATGACAATTTAGAGAATCGTCCCGAAGTTGTAAAATGCAGCTCTAGAATTTCATTTGTCGCTGCGTATGGAACCCTAAAAAGAAACTTATCTGGTGTAGGTGCGCGGATCGTTCCACACGGCCGCATTCTCGGATCGCTCGTGCGTGCCCCTTACATAGCCACCCAATATTGTAACATGCCCAGAACCACCCCGTCTATTAACCTCCGTAAATCCACCACTTCGGGAAAATGTTAGGATTTTTTTTAGATAAAAATGCGCGGTTCTTTTCCTTATTCCTGTTTATACGATTTATTTGGGATTTTTTTTTAGAAAATCGAATTGAAAAGTTATCCTTACTCCCAGCGACTATAAATGTTTAAAATGTAAAAAAACACCCCACAGCAACTCCCTCCTATTCGTCCCATAGAGATTAGCATAGAACGCAAGGTTTATGGCGTTGAAATGATGACCGTAATTGTATGCGTCTCGACAATAAGCACTCAGAGGAGCACCCTCTTCTTGTCTCCTTGAAGCGGATGAATATGACAATTCAAATGAAAAATGCGATGGCACATAATAACGTCAAGCCCGTAAACAACAATGTCCACGGCACGGCTTAACATAACCCTTTCTACATCAGATAAATGCCAGCAACAGTACTTTCTTGTAACACAGGTTAAATATCGCGATTTCCTTCTAAAGTCCCATTAATCTATTATTATATATATTTATTATTAATTACTATATGCTAGACAACATCACCATACGTGGCTCTGATCCCAAAGTAAGCAACTAAAACACATGTGCTATGAAAATCGGAAACGACAGTACCACAAACACCCAAACCCGAGACAATATAGAAAAGTTAGTTTTTCTACCCTGTCGAGGATCGAACCCAGGACCTTAGAGAAGGCGACACCATGAAAACCGGTGTGCAAGCCACTCGACCAAGGATGTCGCAAAAATATATTGATTTTTTAGTTTTTAGTCGTCATAATTTTTTAGTCTTTGCTATTAAAAGCTCTTAGGAGCACTGCCACTGTGCCCGTTACCTTGGACATAAGCTGACAAGTCCCATGTACCTGTAGTTTCACTCTCCGAAACCGGAACGCAGTAATGCGCACATTACTGCTTGGCGGTACACATAGGTAAGGTGGTGGTACTACCCCGGACGAAATCTTTCACAGGGGGCTCTACTGCTACTTTTGTAGCCAGGATGTTGATAAACTGATTAATGGTGATTACTATTTTAAATTCTCCGCTCTTACACCGTCTGAGGAATAAGCTTTGAATTTTACATTAGAGAAGCGGTATTCCCCAGTAGTGACACTGTCGGCCGGGGTCAGTGACTCAGGTTCGAGAACCTGTAAACGATACGTGCCTTTACGCTTTGTGAAGTTGTTTGCGAGGCTGACTGGAATTAACCCGTTTGCGAACCAAGCCCTTAGGAAGCTTAAAAACACTACTCTCTTTTTCTGTGGCAACGGGCAAAACATACACAGACACTCATATACGCACGCGCGATACACACATGTGCGCACACAAACACACACACACACACACACACAGCCAGACACATAAAAATGAAAAGAAAAACTTAATATAATTTATGATGAATTGAATGAAATATGAAATGAATGAAATATGAATTGTTTAGGCTTTGATATCAATGATCTTATACTCGTATACATTTGAGATATAAAAATTAAAATCAGATCATAATTTCAAATGTGCATACTACTATATAAGCTATGGAAGAGTGGTACTTCCTTACGTGATAACCTTAATAGGCGGTAACATCCACTTTTTAAATCTGAAATGAATCTATTATTGTAATACTTATAAGTATTTATTAATAAATATTTATTTACAAATGTTTTCATTGAAAAGTCTGCAAAATTTAAGACTACGTGTTAGATAAAGATGTATGGAAAGACGACTTGGCTCTGCATTAATCACAAATTTGATTTAAAGTGTATTTCCATTTAAGTTTATTAGAAAAGAGCAATCCCTAGAGTTTCTCGATCGTTCTTCTCAGGGAAGTCGGCGTAGTGAACGAGCTGTGGCTTAAATGTGACGTTTTCAAGTGTAAATTGATTTTACTGGAATAAACGATTCTTTAACTTGACTGAATAAATCTTTCTTTTTTATTCGATATTAACAATATTATTACATTTTAGAATTAAAACCATTCTCTCTATACAAGCTTTTGTTATAAATTTTGTATAATTTCTAGGTTCAGGACAGATCCAGTTATGGCAGTTTCTACTAGAGCTCCTGAGTGACTCGAGCAACGCCGGCTGCATCACATGGGAGGGCACCAACGGGGAGTTCAAGCTCACGGACCCGGACGAGGTGGCACGGAGGTGGGGGGAGAGGAAGTCCAAGCCAAACATGAACTACGATAAGCTCAGTAGAGCGCTGAGGTAAAAAAAGACATGGATCACGCGCGCCTATGCGAATTCTCGGGTACCCGTTTTTGCTATGCGATTAATTAGTCAACATCGAGTTTGTCGTTGCGAATATTCCTATACTTGCCTGTACAACCACAACATTGATTTTATTTTGTAATTCTGATCGTGTGAACTTTGTGCAGATATTACTACGACAAGAATATTATGACAAAAGTACATGGGAAACGGTATGCGTACAAGTTCGATTTCCAAGGACTGGCGGCGGCCACACAGCCGGCGGCCAGCGACCCGGCATACAAGTACCAGAGCGATCTTTTCATGAGCTCGTACCACCACTCAGCCAAGCTATCGTCTTTCATGGCCCCACACGCAGCTATGCCAACATCCACAGGTAATTATAAAACCACGCCGCAATGCTACAGCGAAAGAATGAACAAAACTTTAAAGTATTTTCAAACGGTTTCTAAAATATTTCCAAAATTACGTATTTGGCTTTAAACGTAAAGTTTATTGCGAGGGTTGCTAACTACCTAGTTAACGAGTGATTATCGGAATAGACACTGTATATTTACTAACCAAAACTTCAAGTAAGACATGTGGATATATCTCTCTCGGAACTATTAAAAATTAAAAGCAATAATCAAACAAAACTTTCCTTCTAATACACTACCGTAGTAAAGTAATCGCATATCAAAAATATAGTACATAATCTCAGTACAGAGTACTAAAAAAACCGACCTCAAAGGTACGTGGAGTTACGTCTATTTGCTAAGTTTTATTGAAATATTCCCTAGTTCGCCACTATACAGGACTTGACACTGGAGATAATAAAAATCGGTTCTCACTACTCAAAGTATATCGAAAGAAAAGCGCCTTGAATTGGACAAATAGCAAAATCAACCATTAGAGTAATTGCTCCGAAAATAAAGTTAGGCGCTATTATAAAAATGAATCTTCATGCGTGAACAGCCACCCTTTGAGGTGAATGATTTCCTTCAAAATGAAATGGGACCACTATGGAAGTACCCACTTTCCAACAAAAAAAGAATCATGAAAATCGGCTCACAAATACCGGAGTTATCGCGTAACATATATACAAAAAAAAGGAACGTACAGTCGAATTGAGAACCTCCTCCTTTTTTGAAGTCGGTTAAAAATACGTAATATTGATAATTCAGAGGGAGGCTTTATCCATTATAATACGTGTATTAGAAGTATATTTAAATATACTCTGCCAATTGCGATCACTGGTGACGAAATAATAATCTGAACTACTACAATGGAACTAGATCTGGAATCTCGGTTGAACTGCAACTCCAAATGTTTCTATTCAAGAGCATTAATTACTCTTTTTTATGAACTTCGTTAGTCAAATATTGGAAACAAAGTTATATAGAAATTAACAGTGACATAATTATAACTTTTCTAAATGAAATCTAACCTCAAATGTTTGCAAACCCGCTGTCGCCGTATTCGTTACCGCGGTTTCTTCAACGATGACAAAACGCATATGCCTCGTCAAAACGAATGATTATGAGTTCAAACACTGTTGGCAACACAAATATTAAAATATAAAAATATGGTAACCCGGTGTTAAACAAGCGCAAAATAGCTTATTCGTTACCAAAACTACAATCCACGTAAGGACTGTAGATTTCGTAATAACCTTAGAATAATAACGCATAGAAACCTAGTCCGCACACGCTAAGTGAGGCAAATTGAAGCGCGCCAAAAGGGCCTACACGAGCGGGCGGGCCTCAGTGCTCAAGGTCAAGTTGCATCGCGAACAGCTCCAGAATTTCAGCTAAAAACGACGAAATGTGCGGTAAATGAGTGTAAAAATGCGTCAGACAAACATAAAATAGATACTAACATCACATTCCACAAGGAAGTAACGCGTTTCAACTTGTATTTTTATATAAATATTCACTAAAACCGAAAATTAACCTACTACTAAAACTAGCCTACATGAATTTGATTTTTGCCTCACTTGTGACAGCTCGTTTGATATTAAACTATCATTCTATGCGTTATTATTCTAAAGTAATAACATCCACAAAAGAGCTGCTGCACTTGTTGAAGACTTCCCCTCATCTGTCTGCCATTTCCATCTAAAACTCTATCTTTTAGGTAGAAAATAAATGCAAAATTGCTTCTTATTTAAGATAAATTGAAATCAATATTTTTTTAATGCAAATCAAACGTTATAAATAAACTATAATCCTTAGTTTGTTCAATTAAGTATGTTTAGATTCCATTCTATTACATTTTATTTACTTTGAATTAATAATTATAATTATGATGTGAAAGAAGAAAGAAAGAAAATATATTTATTTGGTCCGCATTACATTAACAATAACTACTTTACAACTACAAGAATAAGGAACCAAAAAGGTCACCACTCAGCATGTGCCAGTGTGCTCACGGAGAAACAGACCGGCGCTGATATTCTGTGGCCACCACAACAGAAAGGACACCACTACAACGAACATACACTTTAACAACAGGATATACATATACATACATCAACTTAACATAATATAAAATATATAGGTTTTTAAACATCACAATAAACAAACAATCATTAAACAATGACAACTCTTACTACATACAAAAAATATATACACTATAAAATAATATAACATAACATATGCTGGCCTAAATAAACTACACAAAAAACAGACAAAAATAAACATAAAAAAAATGAAATAAAATGAAAATTAAAAACAATAATAAAACAAATCAAGAAAAACACTTCGCTTAAAAAATACCCCACTCGTCGTACCTCTTTTGATTAACCATTAAATACAATTTAAAATTTCTCTTGAACATGGCAATCGTGCCAAGTTTTATTAAAATTGGTTAACGAAAAATTGGTGAAATTCAATTACCGGAAACTAGAACCAAAACTCTTAGATGCCAAATATGTTCTTCAAATTTAAATGGGACCACTACTAAAAAAGAGTCATCCAAATTGGTTCAGAAAAGTAACACATAAAACCTCCTCTTTTTTTAAAACCGGTAGTTTAGAAGACGTCATTGTCTATTTACTAACTTACTAAGCGCTTAAATCATAATCAGTCAAGTAAATTAGGTATAACGTTGTTTTGTTTTTTAATTCATAGGTGCTATAAATATTTCAGGGTCAAGCACACAGGGGCGTAATAAATCAGTCAATATGCTTAAGGATTTATGGAAAATGTGTATTTATGTTAAAATAATATAATATAAACTTAAACGCAAACATATTACACAAAGTACATAAAGTTTTGCTAATATCATGGACCCTTCAACAACAGAGCACTCCAGGGTAATCTGCATTTCGGTGCGCCACTTACACTTGCTTGCACAAATATTGGCCCACTACTCGAAACGGGTTGTCACCGACACGGGCTGCCGTACACTTGACTTAATGGACTTTCTAAAACCTATGGCTACCTTATAAGCCAGACTTTGTAGGGGTATTGAGAATTTGAAACCAGTAAACATCACTTTCAGGCGAAGTGTCCCGCTTTTTTTGGATTGAACCGGGACGCTTGAAATAGTACATTGTACAGGACGGTAAATATATGCTACTAATGCTTCCTACGGCCGTGGCCGAACGGTTACCATGCTGAATTTTACGCAAAGGTCCCAGGTTCGATTCCCGGGCCGGGTGAGTTTGGGTGTAATGTATGGTTGTCTATGTGTGTGTACATGGCACCCGCGACCCAGGGTTTTCCTAGTGCGGGGCTATGTTGAGTGTGTGCGTTATTAATAATAGGGGTTAAAGTATGAAATTGCCGATTTGTACTGAAAATCTAAATTGTTTATTTTTTAAATTTTTAACAAATTTATTTAATCAAAATAGTTGCCATTATTATCTATACATTGCTGCCATCTAATGGGAAGGTTATTAATGCCTTTGCGATAGAACTCCGACGACGTAGACTGCACAAACTGTGTGAAAGCATTTTGTACTGCCTCCTGGGAAGAAAACTTCTTGTCACGTAGATAATTGTCCAAATCACGAAAAAAATGGTAGTCCGTTGGAGCAAAGTCTGGTGAATACGGAGGATGACGAATGGTTTCTAACTGCAGTTCCTGAAGGGTCAAAATGGTTTCTCGTGCTGTGTGAGGTCTCGCGTTGTCGTGGAGCAATAATGGTGAAGATCGATTCATGAGTCGGGGCTGTTTTACTGCTAGTTTTGTCAACATGGTTCGGAGTTCGGCACAATAGACATCTGCCGTTATTGCTTGACCAGATCGGAGAAAACTATAGTGAATAACACCATGCTGAGACCACCAAACAGTTACCATTACCTTTTTATTGGTAAGTTTTGCTTTAGGACACTGTTGTGGCATTTGACCTGGGGTCAGCCATTGCATTTTTCTTTTCCGGTTATCATAAAGAATCCACTTTTCATCACATGTTACAATTCGATCCAATATTCCTTCATTTCTGTACCGGTTCAACAAGGCAACACAAGTTTCAACACGCGTTTCTTTCTGCAGATCAGTCAAATCATGAGGCACCCATTTTTCGTATTTTTTTATTTTATTGATTTGACGCAAGTGAGTCAATATTGTGGGTAAGGTAACGTTAAACCATGCCGCTAATTCCTGGGTAGTTTGACTAGGATCGGCTTCCACTATCTCTCTTAATTCATCGTTATTCACCTGTGTGGGCGGTCTTCCTCGTGCCTCGTTCTTTAAGTCGAAATTTCCATCACGAAAGCGTTTAAACCAAAATCGCACGGTGCGTTCATTAGTAGACCCCTCTCCAAACGCAGCATTGATATTGCGGGCTGTTTCTGCCGCGTTAGTTCCGCGTCGGAACTCGTATTCAAAAATCACTCGAATTTTCACAGTATCCATCTTTCTTGTCTAAATTGAATAACAAAAACAATTGAAAGTCGATATTCAATTGTTTTAAAAAAAAAATCACAGAAACCATTTGAAAAAAGTTTCATTCGAAAACCTCAAACCATAAAGATTCTATGAAAATTCAAAGAACCTATTGCAATAAAACGGCAATTTCATACTTTAACCCCTAATATTTTTATTAGAAGCCAAAGGCTGAAGGCTTTAATAGCTCGAGTTTTGTATTGTTTACCGTCCGTTAAACATACAATGTTTTTCATCACATTTGCGAGGAAATAAATACAATACAAATATGGTTCACAATACAACAATTGTAGGAGCTCTATTGTCTACAAAAATTTATTATATAATGTAATTAATGAATTGTAATATAATGAAGTATTCGCGATGGAGTTAAACGCCAAAAATGTTTCAATTCACGGGAAACATCTTATCTGTGGCTCTAGTGAAAAGGAGTACAAAGTCAAAAATGGCAACTTTAGATGGAAACTTATTTATTTATTTATTTTTGGCAAAGCTACAGAATACAAACTGTGAATGATTATCACTAGTCAGGTTTCTTACCACGGTATGACTTCTTTTTATTTTCCCGATATTTCGGAACGGTTGCACGCTCCATGGTCACGGGTTGACTGACAGTCAGTCAGTCAAGTAGTGATACTAGTGATAATCATTTAGTGAATAACCACGAAAGTCTTAAAATCTATATAACAAACTGTGAAGATACTTAAAATTGACATGCATTATAATAGGAGTCAATTTGTATTCCTATGACGCCCACACACGGCATTTGCGAAATAAATAAAGTACTTACTTACAGCATTGACTTACAATTATATGGACGTCGGGTCCGCGCTAAAAAGTGGCCGAACTTGTAGGGCGTTAAAATCTTATACAGAGCGTCATTCACGCTTTAGTCTTCGTTTTTTCGACCGAAATATCGATAATATGTATGCTTACAAGATCAACACTATCTCAAAACAATCGTTAACAACAATCATCAAAATATACAAACAAACAGGCAATCTAAAGTAACAAAAGCAAAATTTGGCAAGATTCATAAATAAACTACTTAAATAAGTCTAATTACATGAGATATTTGGGCTATTGTGTGATTTATAGACAAAAAAATAACACTTGTCTGTGTAATGTAACATTCGATTGATTTGCACTTTTCTAAAGCCACATCTCTTAATGCTGCAGCGTCGCATTTTTGTTAATACCTAATTATTCTCACTGTCAATATTTTTGTCCAATTTAATTATAATACATGCGAATAATTAAATAATACATTTGGAAAAACATTTGTTTTGACATTTGATGTACTTCCCTTTGACAACGGTATCATGTACCTCATGTACTTGAAATGGCCACGGTTGGCATTTAAAATGACGTTACGAATTTTCGATTCCCGTGTTTGACACAGACCAATGTAATGTTATCTCTTTTGGCTTAAGACGGCACGTAATAGTTAAACAAAGACAATAATATGTTTATGTTTTCAACGACGAAATGCATCATATACATATAACGTCTGATTTATATATGTCAACGTAACATGTCCTTTAGTTTCCATAGTCTAAGCGTGTACCTCATGTACTGCGAAATGGACACGGTTAGCAATTAAGCTGACGTTACGTATTTTCGATTCCCGTGTTTGACACAGACCAATGTAATGCTATCTCTTTTGGCTTAAGACGACACGTAATAGTTAAACAAAGACAATAACATGTTTATGTTTTCGACGTCGAAATGCATCATATACATATAACGTCTGATTTATATAATGTCAACGTAACATGTCCGTTAGTTTCCATAGTCTAAGGGAACGGGGCATAGGAGACAGGGCGATACTGACTTTTTTGTAGTGACAGGAAGAATATCGTCATTTTATAGCTAATGTCATTTTGCATTAAGACTAATACAGTCATTGACTTACAAATTATATGGACGTCGGGTCCGCGCCAAAAAAGTGTCCGAACTTATAGGGCGTTAAAATCGTATACAGAGCGTCATTCACGCTTTAGTCTTCGTTTGTTCGACTGACAGCGAAGCAAGCAAAATTAGACAGTACTGCGATGACATTACAATTTAAATTCAACGCTTTAGCTTTTTCAAATTCCTTTAAATGTCACTACGATTAAATAGGTTGAGTTGGGACATTTTTTTCGTGGTTTTTGTATTAGACCCGTCGTCCATTCCATTGTAAGTCAATGAATACAGTACAGGTTTGCTGAACCAGATATACGCTGGTTAGTGGATAAGTTATAGAATAACTTTTTTTATAAGTTTAAAATTAAATTTCTTGACATAATTTGTTTTTATGAATCCTTGGTGACGATATTGCATAATAAGAATATTAATTTACATGAAATGATTATGAGGATTAGTGATACTAAACGAAATTCTCAAAAATACCTTTACTTTTTTGTAGTAGGTGAACATTTGCAAAATACTTCTAAAACTATGTAGGTTCCCTTTTAACAAAAAAAGAGGGTTCAAAAATCTTCGTTGAGTAAGAAATTGCCGTTATCGCAATTTTCAAAACTTTATTTGCTCATTATTAAAAATCAGAAATGTTGAATTGTGTCACTGTCATTCTCAGTGTGCGATAATAATAATCTCAGTACAGAGTACTAAAAAAACCGACCTCAAAAGTACGTGGAATTACGTCTATTTGCTAAGTTTCATTGAAATATCCCCTAGTTCGCCACTATACAGGACTTGATACTGGAGATAATAAAAATAGTTTCTCACTACGACACTACTCAAAGTATATCGAGGGAAAAACGCCTTGAATTGATGAAATAGCAAAATCAACTAAATAATTGCTAAAAGTAATTGCTCCTAAATTAAAGTTAGGCGCTATTTATAAAAATGAATCTTCATGCGTGAACAGCCACCCTTTGAGGTGGATGATTTCCTTCAAAATGAAATGGGACCACTATGGAAGTACCTCCTTTCCAACAAAAAAGAATCATGAAAATCGGTTCACAAATACCGGAGTTATCGCGTAACATACATACAAAAAAAAAAACAAAAAAAAAAAATAGAACATACAGTCGAATTGAGAACTTCCTCCTTTTTTAAAGTCGGTTAATTATGTAATATATCAAAGCATAGTCCATTATAAACTCAATGGATACGTTAAAAAGAGAGCATGAGGTTTTTGTATTAAAAATTTTGGAAACCGTTTAAAACGTACTATATTTTTTTGCGTAGTTGAAGCGAATGTGTTCTTTTCACAATTTTTACATGCTTTTCAGAACTATACATCATTGGAATTTAATTGTGTATTTGATGAAATACGGGGTGACCGCAGATCTTCAAAGCGATTACGGTTTTCAAACTCATAGACGTAAACGCAATGCCAAAAATGTCAGCTGGTCGTTTCGCCCTTAAATGGTGGAAAAAAAAAGAAGTTAATAAGCGGGGTAAAATGTTATTAAAAAATCTATTAGAAGTCAGAGTTTCAACATGACCACCTAAGAGACATAACGATTCCCCGCGGAAAAATATCAGACCATTAAATTATTGAAGAAAAATTAATATCTAAAATCTGGCAGGTTGGCTAATTAGCTTTAGTGAGGGTGAAAAATTTTACTAAGTACTAGTAGTAATAACAGTAACTTTTAACAACCTCAATAGCAAAGTAATGAATACAATAACGAATCACTCGGTGTGAAAAGTTGTTATTTTCGATGAGAAACTGCTACGAAAATTGAATTGGTAATCGCCGGTCACCTCCTGTCTCAACTTCCTTAGTACAGTCAACAGCACATCAAGCTATACTCTTTCTTTGAATAATATCCGTCAATATGTAGCTTGATATTCAGCCGTCAGTACTTAGTTACTTAAAAATGTACATAAAATGTGTGTAATCGGGCGTCTTTTGCTGAGATTTATAATATTAACTTTGACTTCGAATTAGCAATAATGGCGACATGAGCAAGTTTTTCGTATTTACAAAACGCCTAAGTTTAAACAAGAAATTACGAAGCATAAGCAGTTTCTTTTTGTAAATAGGAAAAAGTAGCTTAAGTCGCCGTCTTTGCTTGATCGTTTGTAATCGTTTATTTATAAATCTCAGCCTGAGTGTATTCATGAAGAATATAGCAAAAATATTGATGCTCAAAAGTAATAAACTGCGCAGACAGTAGATCCCTTTATCGCGCGTGGTCAGGAGCATACAGGTTTGCGCGCGGGAATGCCTGCACGCGCAATTGTGTGCGCAATTACCTGTTTAAAATTTTTTAAGCTAACTTTCTTTCGCGCGCGATTGATCGTGTTTGTTTTTGGTCACAATGGAAAGACCGTCCGTGTAAAGGCTAATCGCGCAGGATAGACCGCGTGAAACTGGCGCGTCTTGGTGTGCGCGATTATGCGCGAGACTGTCATTCCCTTTTCCTTCTAACGTCTTTATAGATAGAGCGATAGAGTGTCTGTATTATGCCCGCTAATCGCTCGTCTCAATATTATTTACTCTCAAATTTTTTGTTTTAATATTGCTTCATGAATGCAGTCTCTACTTCCAGAGGGTCTGCCACGAAATACGAAGCACCGATCGAAGGTCGTGATTTAGCATAAGTATTTATGGACCTTACTCCGAAAACTCAAATGACAGCTATCGTACCGAATTTTGACACTACTTTCATGGTGAAACTGACATTTGTGTAGTACGTATGATCTTCGTTGTGGACGCAGTCACGCAGTATCGTATTTCGTGGTAGGCCTCCAGGCTTACAGGGAAAATTGTCGCTAGCCACTAGCATAAATTACTTTACAATGTCGTATGGGAAAGTTGAAATAATTTATGTTGTACAGCGCCACTAGCAGTCACAGGAAAAAGTAATGCTTTGTATACAAACTATTTTAGATGGTAGCCAGCAACAACTGTCTTTGTAAACTCTTGGGATCTACCACCAGTTTACCAGTTTTGTCAACAACCTTATTATGCCCTTTTTGATATTAAAAGTTCCTTTTGGATTCAATTGTTTATTGATACTACTTATTAATCTTTGTAAACAACAATTATAGGTCTTTCGAGGTAGATATTCGTACCTATAACTCATATTGTGTATTTTTGTGTGTCTTATAGAGCTTTAGAGGCGTTCTTCGTAATATTAACATTGTTTCAGCTTCCATATTCCCGTCGGCAACGTGGAGTAACTGGGGGGGAGGTGGTAGCAACCTCTATTCCCCCCACTCGATGGCTCCCCCGCACGTGACGTCACATCTGGGCTCGTATCCGCATTACGCATGACCACCCATATAAGTTGACATCACGATTTTAAATTAATTTTATAAATTATGTTCCTTATTTTTCATCGTTCTGTACAATAGGAGACAAATTTTTATTTATTCTTAATACATTTGTCAATGGAAGTAGATATGTTTATTTAGTTTTTTAAAGTACCCCGTTTTATTTTTCTACAAAGTTAAATTTTAAAGTACAGGAGATACAAATGTTTAGTTAATAAAGTGCGACCCTATACGCGGATTACGGAATAAAAATGTAAATCTGACCCAAATGTCAACATTTTACTAAAATGTTAGAAACCCCTCGTACGATGCAAGATTAGTCTTTTTATCAAAGAATTTGTAAATAATAGATGGTATATATTAATAAATTATAATATTAGAATTATTTATTTAGGGTACCAAATTAACGAAATTTTATTGCTCTTATGTATTTACCTGAATTAAAAGATCCATTTGGTTCAGTAGATATCTGTAACTACACTAATAATTAAACGTTGAGCTTGAGGCGGATCATGGTTTTCTTAAAAATAAATCAAACATCACTGTCTCTTTTCAATTTTAAAGGCTAATGTTTAGGCAGAATAATGACAAAGACCCTCACTTAATGCTACACTGACGCAATTGACGGTATTCCTTTCAATTTTACAGGGTATGGATTTGAAATTATTTTAAGCTTTTATTTCAAATCCATGACGTGTTAATAAAACTTTATGTATTTTACATTATATTAATACATTTTACAAAAAAAAGGAAAGTACAATTACTGCAGTGTTGCATCAAACAAAAAAATAATAACATATTTAAATACTCTATGCCACTTGCGATAAGACCGATAGAAAGTTCAAAGTATCAAACTTGGACTCTGTACCTAATAAACTCAAAGAAATGTTTTTTTTTTAATCGAAGCTTCATTCGAGTTTTACGGAAACTGGCGAATTCAATTGTCACTTGAAATATGCACTTTAAACATGAAATTATAAGGTTTTTCTTTTCAAGAATCATTTCCGGTAATTCAGAATGTAGAATGTCAAAAATAAGGAAGTCACTACACCGATACAGGCGGAATCGGCTTCAGCCGGTCAGAAAAAACAATCGGTCTTTTTACATGGGTTATATATAACCTTATATATGAACAGTTAAGGTGGACTTTCAAATGCAGTAGGTAACGAGTTGATGATCAAGAAATGTATAATAATATTGCAATCTTCAACTTCCATAAAACTGGAATAGTTCCAAAGCTTGGAATAAAAAGAAAAACTTTTTACCAATGTGTGTAGTGATGTTTCGTCAACCAATATAATATTTCAAACGAAGTTTAAACTTACGCCAAAACATACTGAAAAATAATAAACGACACAATAGAATGATTTTTAATTCGGATTCAATCGCGTAGGTATATATTAGTTATTTTTCAAGCAAACCAAAGTTTGGGCTTTTTACAGGTCACATGGTTACGATGGACTGAGATGGTATCAGTCATCAACCTTCTTCTTCTAATTTAAGTACCATTAATATATTTCGTAACTATTTAATGTTCTCATTGGATTATTTGTGAAATTACTCCTTTAGTTTAGTTATAATTATTAATACAAAGATCGAACATACAGAACATTTTTTTTTGAGCCCGGTGGAACTTGAATCCATGATCATGCTGCACCGTAGCATTGTTCTTACCAACTGCGCCACAGGTCCAGTTACCGAGCTGTCGAACTTTTCCAATGTGTTTTTGTCATAGATCTTTGTACAAGCTTTCGGCATTCGTCGCCGTTAGTGACACCTACTGAGAGATTTTTGAAAAATTATATATCACACCCCTCGTGGAAGAATGGCATAAGTCAGATACACAAAAATATAACTCATATGCTCTTTAATTCTAGTAACTCTATCTACAATATTAGTCGCTAATGTTTCAAGAAATGGAGAGGATGTGGGTTATATTTTTCTGTATCTAGTGGAGCAATAAGAGTCTTTGACGTAACTCAACTTATGGCATTCTTCCATGAGGGGTGCGATATATGTATAATATTTTACAACAACATCTCAATCAGCTTTGACCATAGCACCTGTATAGAGTACGCTAAGTTGGTTTATTTGAAAAAAAAACAATATACGCGATTGAGACAACAAAAAAGTTTAATATCCAATACTAAAATAAAGAACTCGAATAGTACAACCTTCTATCGTGGCCGTAAGTACAGTAAATTAAAAATACGAAACTTGATCCGCAAACGACTGGGCGATAAAAAAAGAATGTACATCGTAGAATCGATGTAAATAAACATGTATTACGTAGAAGTCAGTATTAAGAGAACAACTAAAGCTCAAAAAAAACCAGGAGTTAATCAGTGTTGACCCCGTAATTTTTGGGCACAAGCTTTCAGGTACTGATGGTTATCATTCTAGAACTAAACACATAGATGTGATACACCATTTCATCCGCGACAAGAGAGGCGCTATTGATGTCCGCTACATTCAGACTGGTTTGATGGTAGCAGACGTGATTACTAAGACCACATACTCCTTGTTAAAACCACGGTCACTTTAATGTCGTGCGTAAAAAATTACTCTCCTGTCTGTCTTCCCTATCAAACTGTACTTTCTGTTTTCATAATATTTCTAGTTCTATATTATATTCGCGCTAATACTGCTTGTTCGTATTATTTGCCACAATATTTTCGACAGCAGGCAGCAAGGATTGACACCGTGCTGAATTGCGACAAAAACAATCTTTTTTGCCCATACTACAGACTTTATTTCACCGGAAAAAAATTATAAACGCAACTCAAAGTACCTTTTTTTTTAAACCGCCGTGGATTTTAAAGTATAGCCATTGTAATTCCACTTCGCTAATCACAGTCATATTAGCAGGGCTGGGAACTCACGTGCCGTCTCAATTAAATCATAAAATACGGCATTTTAACCACATTTATTTAACCAAATACTCAGCTCTGCGTATTGGAAGTTACTTTATGACAATACGAAACGCCTCTGTGTTTGCGCTATATCAAAAAGCTATTCATATATTTAACTCGCTACTATTTTTAGTTGGTCTGAAACTTACGAATACTCGTAACCAATGAAATATCGTACTTCAAAAACCATGTAAAACAGAGATATCTAGACGTATACATTAAGTAGCAAATAGATTTTCCTTAAGCGTACTACAATTTTATAAGGGTAAAGACGTCTATGGGGCAAACGCTTTTGTTAAACATCCCTATACTACAATTAACAAAGATCGGAATAGGCGCAGTATATTAACTGCCTCCGTGACCGAACGGTTACCATACTGGACTGCCACGCAGAGGTCTCAGGTTAGATTCCCGGGCCGGGAGAAATATTTGTATGGCCTACATTTATTTCTCTCGCGAGTTTGGGTGTAGTTTGTGGTTGTCTGTGTGTGTGGCCATGGCACCCGCGACACAGGGTTTCCCCTAGTGCGGGGCTATGTTGAGTGTATGCGTTATTATTATTATTATTCACAAGATACCGGAATGATTAAAATAATAGGCAAATGTATACGTTTCTCAAACATGCTCGGAAATGTTTGCATTATTTTCAAAAAATATGGACCACGCAACTTCTTCTCCGCTGCTCTTAACTTTTAAATTTATCTACTAACAATGAACTATGTAAACAGACAAAATAAAAGCTCATACAGCCAACTGTCCAGTGTCTGTAACTGCGGGAATTAAAAACACCTATCGTACAGTCTATTTAAAATAAATAAAATGGTGATAAAATAAACTAACGCGCTTTGGTATTCTTTTGTCTTTTCATTTTTTTTTTTTGTATTTTAGTCGCGAGAATCAGTTCTAGAGAGAAGAGAGATTACGAAAAAACAGCACAAATATAACATTCAACCCATAGATAGACTCAACCACATCATCAGAAATTCAGCAGACCACTATTAATGTGCCTGGAAAAACAATAACATTTGCAATTTTTTTTTTAATTGTCTATTATGCATCTTCCTCTCTTTAGTCTTTTATTATTTCCTCGCATTGTTTGAGAAAATATGTAAGACTTGGCGGGAACGGAGATTGCTTGACTCTTCACTCATACTCCTCCAGCAATTTACTTACTTCCCGGCTTCTGCAATAATGTACTATACAGTCATAAATCATTTCTTGGAAATAAATACAATGGTAAAAAAGTTAAAAGTAAAAAATATAGAACAAAATACAAGAACTTCTTATCTATTCTACGTTTAGTTTAGGTAAAACAATCTGCCCATTTCGATTTTTGATAATTAGAGAAAAATACGTTTAACCCCGAAGACGCATTTACGCCGATTCATTCATCTCATGAATATATTACTCCATTTTGTTATCAAAGTCTTGACACAAATTTTACTGTGAATTAATATATGGACTGTTTATCAACTATACAAAATTAATAATGTACATACTAAACATTTTTTGTTAACATTTTTAAAAGTGCAATCGTACTACTAATGAATAAACTAGAGTAGTTAAGGTGTTTTACTCTATTATGTTAATTTTAACTTTGTATAAAATGTTACAAAAAGGTGAACTGAAAAATACTCCAAAGCAGGAATGTACTCCTTCCACGAACGTCTTCCGCTTTGCCACCATTAAAAAACCATTTTGGAGAACACCTAGAAATTAAGGGCAACCTAGCGAGCTCAAAAGAGGTTGACATATTGTTTACTTCTCAAAGTTCAACGTAATGTCCTCCATAAACACACGGGTGTTTTACAAGGGAGTCGCGTTAAGCCGGTCAGAAAATATATAAATGTTTTCTGAAAAGCCGATTCCGCATTAACAGGTGTGTTGAGTTCCTAAGATTCCAAAACCGATGTTTGATACACCCTGAGATGTGGACACCATTTTTGTAACAATCTATATTATTATTTAATTTTTAATGTAATTTATTATGTAAAGGACGTCTTTAATTTATTCTTCACCTGTAGTCTATTTGATTATTGACCTTTTCGAAGACTCGTCTATTAATTGGATTACCCGTGGACTTGAAATAAATTGCACTTGGCCCGTTTATTCTAAGTCTATGAGGCTAGTCAGTTAATCTGCTGTTTTTATATATTTTACGTAAGAGTAAAATTAATTTTCTGGTCGACCAACTGTACTATACGCACGTTCGAAGCCGAGTGTATACTGTCGTAGAGCGATCAGATTGTTAGTAGACCTTTAGAGAATCCTTTTTAAGGTACACTCAGCAAAAGCTACAATGTCATATTTTTAAACTGCAAATTTGAACGCTAATACCTAACAGTAAATAGTGTGAGTCCTACTACAATAAAATAAAAATGTCAGTATTACCTTCAAAGGAACTGTAATTAGCACGGCTTAAGGACTAATTAGCAGAAATTACGCAACAATTTTTTTCCCTATTCTATGATTGAAAATTCTGAAACGAAAAATTTATTTTTTATATGTCAATGAATTTACGAAACTA